ACTCAAGATAAAGTTTGTTGACATTCAAAAGAACCAAACGCTAATAAGGATTTGGTTTTCAATTACAGCTCCAAAATGACCATTCGCCCAGCATACAGGCCCAAGATCGTTAAGAAGCGCACCAAGCACTTCATCCGTCACCAGTCGGATCGATATGCCAAGTTGTCGGTAAGTTAATTATGAAATATAAGCAAAGAAGTTCCCAGACTAAAATTCACTCATTTGCTTTGCAGCACAAATGGCGCAAGCCCAAGGGTATCGACAACAGAGTACGTCGTCGCTTCAAGGGCCAATATTTGATGCCCAACATTGGTTACGGTTCCAACAAGCGCACCCGCCACATGCTGCCCACTGGCTTCAAGAAATTCCTCGTACACAATGTGCGCGAATTGGAGGTACTGCTGATGCAGAATCGCGTCTACTGCGGTGAGATCGCCCATGGTGTATCCTCAAAGAAACGCAAGGAAATCGTTGAGCGCGCCAAACAGTTGTCGGTGCGTCTAACAAACCCCAACGGTCGCCTGCGCTCCCAGGAGAACGAATAAGCTTAAGATTGGAGTTCACTTATACGAGTTTTTTATAAACATAGTCGGAATACAACTATTTGAAACGTTACAAGTGAATATTTCTAATAATTGTTTATTTGTGTATCTGATGGGGTCTAAATAGATTTTTAATTGCCCAACAAAGGTTCTATTTCTATTTCGTAAAATCAGATATGACATATTTATATATCTGTATAATCCCTTAACAAAATCCCGGTAGACAGAATCAAAAGCCATTCTAACGATTTGGAAATTAATGAAATAGTTGCAATCGATTAGTGACTCGGTTTTCTCTTCCCGACTACGAATTGTTTGTTTTAATCGAACTGTTGTTTATTTGAAATATTTCGTTTTTATACATATATAGAAGCGTTTTATATAGAAAAATAAGTCATGTCAAGAATTTATTCCAGCCTAAATACTCTAGGATTCCAGAATTGTTATGCTTCAATAGCTTAATCATATAAAGGTTAATATGTGTTAGATTAGGGGTGCTTAAATGCTATTTATTTTAATACGACATCATGATCAATTTGTAAATGATGCTCTAGTTCCTTCTTGTTCTCGTAATTAGTGCTGCATATGAGGCAGAATCCAGCGGAATTGTCATCGTTATCAGACATAATCACTGTGACGGCCTGCTCGGATTCGTCAACGTCTACTTGTAGTTCCTCAACCACCTGATCATCCACTGGCACCTCTTCCCGCACGCCATAGACTACATCACCTTCGTGTGTCTTCATATGCATCTTAAGTGTATAACGTTCCGTGAAAGATTTCGGACAAACGGAACAATAATGCCGTGGTCTATTCTCCTTATGGATGAGTGTATGATGATTGAAAGTCTTACGCGATTTGAATGAGACGTTACATATGCTGCATATGATTGGATTCTCCTCGGCCTCATGACGCAGGCGATGATTATAGAGCAGATTGTCCTGGGAAAAGCGTAGTCCACACTTTTCACATTGATATTTCTTCTTGTCCCAGTGCATGCGCATGTGCCGCAGCGTATTCACTGGCCGCGAAAAGCTCTTGGGGCAGTATCGGCATTGCTTCTCTGTTTTTCCCTCATGCACGTTCATGTGCAGTTCAAGATATTCTTCGTCGCGGCGTATAATTCCGCAGATGGGACAGACATGAGCCTGCGTTTTATTGTGCTCCTCGCTGATATGCTTCTGTAGTTGATAGCGTGCATTGAATATTTTACCACAAGTGTTGCATTCCTGTTTGACGCGCTTTGACATAAATCTACCTTGATCATCCTCATCCTCTAGTTTAGGGGAGACACCATCAGACTTGCCCTCACAGAGAAACTCCTGGTCATCATCATCATCATCATCATCGTACTCCTCCTTGATTTCCATATCCACATCTTCCTCATCTTTCACGAGCTCCTCAAATAACGCTTCCGCTTCGGCATCATCTTGTGCGGTTTTGTCTAATTCCTCTACCAGACCCTCGTCTTCGTATTCCGATTTCAATGCTGCTTTTAACTGCGTCGTTAGCTTCTTTTGCGTAACCATTAAATTAACCATAATGGTATCATATTCGGCCAATTCATTAAAACATCGCGGGCAAAGTTTTGTTTCTGCGCTCAGTTTGATTTCGGTTTTCATGCAGTTTGCGAGGTGGGTAAGAACTAACGACACCGATTTGTGTGACGAAGGCACCTTGGCTGAGAGCAATTCATAATTTGCAGTGCCGTGTATGTCAACGGCACCGCAAAAGAAGCATGTATTCATGATTTCCGAATATCGGCCTTCCTTCGTCTTCTGGAGTCTCGTAAATGTTTACAAAATCGCCGCTTGGATTTAGGGATGTAAGTATTTTAGGGATGGACCGATATGATATTATGGTAGCGGGTGCGAACACTTTTAGAGATTTCTTAACTTTATTAATCAACCTTTTCTAGATACCTAATTGTGATTGTATACAGCGTTGTAAAATAATCGATGACGTGCCGATAGTTTTTAGCTGTCAAAACGATAGTCATTAGCACTGACGACACAACATTGTCATTAGCCAGCATTGACAATACTGGTGTAGGGCTGCCAAGCTGTGGCATAAAGAATTAAAAATTTAATTATTTATTTAAATAACGGAAATGTAATTAATTTTTCGTATTTATTTATTATTTTTAAAAAATGAATGTAAAACGAAAATTTGTTAACATATACTTTAAACATAAGTTTTATTGGCCATATTTTTATATCACATCCATGAACCAATTTTAAATCAAGCAAAATACATTGAATTCGCATTAGATGTATTTCATTTTAATTTTTTCTTGAATTAATTAACTACATTTATTGTGGTCATGATTTATAGCTTAGGTAATACGTAGAATTTCAGTTAAGTGAAAACTTAAGAGATCACTCTCATGATTTAATGAAGTTGAGGACTTATTTACAAAAGTATTTTCTCTTACCCGATTAGTAAATGATTGAGAGGCATTTCTTAATTGCGTTGATGTCGTCATTGACTTTTCAGTTTTGCAGACAGATCTTTGATAGACTAGTCTATCGCAGACATCTCGTAGTTTTGCCAAAACCGAATACAAAATTTTCAAACGCTTTATAATACGTTTCAGATCTACTTGAATAGATATTTCAAGTACAGCCTGGCATTCACGTAAAATGGCGATAAAATCTTGATGCAACCGCTTGCCTTCCACATCTTCAATTAGCTCTTGATAGTTTACCTTAAGCTGAAAGTGTTCGAATAAAACGTTTCCCATTTGGCTTACTTTCAATAAATAGCCCTTGGGATAGAGTGTCGCTGCATTGTCAATGCTCTCGTCCAAGATATCCAAAAAGTTGCTGATCAAGGCTCGACTGTCAATTATTTCGTGAACAACATTGCGAAACATCAGCAGCTCTTCCTTGAAATGATTTTCCAGAATATCTGCATGGTATAATGCCGACGTCGTAGCTTGGAATTTAAATGCGGGTACAATACACGCGTCCAAGGACTCCAACGAGGCCAAACAACTTCGGATAATTGTCTTCGTTTTCACATCTTGCGTAAAGGCTATGGCAAAGACGCCAATCTGTTGTATGCAATCCACATTGATGTCAAAATCACAAATCAATTTCTCCACATCAGCCGAAGATTCGCTCTGTTGCAAAGCGTTCTTCAATTCACTTATATAAGTTGTCTCCCCGAGGCTGTTGAAGATCAAGCGCAATAGAGCTTCATTAAGATAGGTTTCCACTGAATACAGCGCTCTTTGCAGAGACAAAGCTTCCAATTTGCGCTCATTTCGATTATAGTTGTCAAAGTTCTTTTCAAAAGCGACACATTCATCCAGAACCGTTTCACAGATGGCAGTCAGGGCCTTCTTATCCGAATCGAGTGCAACATTGGCAAAGGCCAAAGCATGCCGAACAATGTGATTCACTTGACCCACCAGCTGAAGGTGCTCTTCAGCATCGAAGATGTCATCCTGCTCCGTGTCGACTATGTCGCTATAGCTCTCCAACTTATCCAGTGCCAAATCCAATAGCTCCACAAACGAAAGATCCTCCAGTTTAACTGGAGTGCTGGCTATAGCCTCCTCATTCAGCTGATATATGGATGCTTGCAGCCGACGCAGACACCACTCGATGCGATCCCGAAAATGTGTTCGAGTTGCTAGCAGGGGAGAACCACCTGACTCCTCAATATTGATGGTGCGCTCCAATTGCATGATACACGTGATAATTTGCGTAAAACATAGATAAATCGTCTCTATGTGTATTTTACTATATCCATCCACCTCAGTTTTGGGCAAGAAGTTCTTTAATTCACTTGCAAACTTATGAAATGTGGCACAAAATCTATTCAACGACTCGATGTTTGTAAACTTTTCCATCAAATCCGTGCACACATTCAGTTGCAAAAATAATTTATCCATTCTCGTTAAACGTTCGAAACTCAACTGAAGTCAAATGTTGCCCGCTTAGGCTTTATATAGAATCAAGATTGGTTAGGTATGGGTAGGTAAACTATTGTACGATCCACAGATGGTTTAAAACATCTGTCATTTTATGGCAGTTACTTTTTGGAGTTTACCTAGTGCTACCTGCTTTAAGTGTGGATTATGCGCCTGTAAATCCATTCATAGCCATTTTATATAGGATCCCGTCCATTCTGCTATTTCGGTATCGACTTGAAATTCAACAAAGTTTGCATGAACCTAAGACTGCTTACAGGTTATGCGAATTAGGAAGTACAGCAACAACTATGTTAGAGCTGTCGTATTTGTAAAACATAAATATTTCGATTATACATTTTTATTCTTAATTTACATTCATTATAAATATATATTGAGACTTTTATTTAAAATATTTTTACTTGATGCAGTTCTTTTATTATTGAACTTAGTGTCCTTTCTGAACTCAAACAATTCATTTTTATGCCAAATTCAATGAAAATTGGATCCTTTAGTAATTAGCATAAGTATAACCAATGGCCACTCAAATCGGTTGCTTAAACAGTCTTTAAAACCTAAGTGTACTCAAAATATTTTAATTAATACATTTGCATTGTCTTTGTGTTCATGAATCGTAATGGAATTCAAAAATATTTGCGATTTTAAAGATTGATTGCCTGACTTTCTGTGGCCGACATTGTTGACTCAGCTGGCATATGGACGCGTTTGTGCACCTTTAAGGTGTATTTATCGACGAAGGACTTTTCGCAGTCTGTGCATTGGTAGCGGGGACGATCGGTTTGATGAGTGCGCAGGTGATGTTTGTAGGTGCGTTTCGTTTTGAATTGCTGATGACAAACATCACAGATCAGGGCATGTTCCTCGGCATCGTGCCGCATTAGATGATTGTACATTAGCCAGGACAGTGAGAAACGTTCGCCACACTTTTCACACTGATATTTCTTCTTGTCCCAATGCACCTCCATGTGACGCAGAACGTTCCGTTTGTGTGAGAACTTTTTCGAACAGTAGCGGCATTCTAGCTCCGTTTTGCCCTCATGGAGATTCATGTGCAAATCAAGAACTTCGTCGTTTTTCACTTTAATGCCACATATATTGCAGGTGGCCAATTCGTTCTTTTGGCAATTGTCCGTTTTGATGTGCTTTTCGAGACAGTCCTGATTCGAGAAAAGTTCGCCGCATATGTGACATGGGATATCTAGATTGTCATCCCCATCTGAATCGTCCATGCTCTCCTCGCTCTCGCTAAGTGGAGAATCTCGATTTGACTCTTCCATATCCAGAAATTCGTCATCTGCCTCCCGCTTGACGTTCTTCTGTGGCGATTCATTTTCCACGATTCTTGATCGTATTTCCGGTAATTTCGGTTTACCGACATCCTTCTTGGGCTGTAAACATATCGGTTTCTTTTTACGACAGCTTAACAAAGAGTTCGCAATTTGTCGCTGCACTTGGCTCAGGTTCCGAACGAGCCGGTCGTAATTGAAGAGATATTCGAGGCAATCATTGCAAGCAGCCGACGTGGGAGTCAGATCCAAGCGTTGGTTGATTACCTTTTCAAAATATTTCAGTATATCTTTGATAGGCTTGAATGTGCCCGGGACGATGCAGCCTAAAATGGTTAGCGTTAATATTGAAACTCTTCGTGTTTTGTCAAACTTGCCTTCAATTAGCTGAAAGACGCCAACGGACTTCACCTTGCCACAAACGAAACAAAACGGCCGTGCTGTGCTCATTTTATGGGTAATTTATTAAATTTAATTTTCAAGTAGATCTTTACTTGGAATCTATCTGTATATATATTTTTTTTAATAGCAACAATATTTTCTCTAGTTCTCGATTTCTGTACTCAAGAGATTACCGTCAGCTGTTTTATTTTTAACAGCGATAAGCAATTATATTAACATTTGCAGCAGCTACAACAATGTGTAAACCAATATGAGCAAAAACTTATCGATACTTTGCAGTAAGGATCGGTAAAATAATAGGAAAACTGTCGTTAGTTGGAATAAAAATACCAGTACCAAAATCACGTTTAATTGAAAAGCGTAAAAATTATATATATGAATTTGAGCAGACAATGTGTTAAGATTTTAGGTACAGTTACAACAAATAATGCTGTTACTTGTCACTGTTAGAAAATCACAGTTACTACTTACTATACGATATTTAAACGTATCAGCATCTCAATATCTGTCATTACTAGAGAAAATGCAATGTGTCTTTAAAAATTTGCTAAAATCAGCTGTTACACATCTTAGCGGTAAGCTATAAAAATAAAATGAAAATAGTAAATTGCTTATACAAGCACGAACTTTTATCATTTCTATAAAGGAATACGTTCACTAAAAATGGCTAACAGAGCTTTTGATTCGATACCTTTGGTCGATGTAGACAAAAAAGGAATTTTCAAATATGTTCTAATTAAAATTTATGGCAACGAGGACTGCGCCGAAACATCCGAAAAATTGGTTGTTCGTGGATATTCTGATTGTCAATTTCATTGTAAGTGTAGCATTTGTTGACTTTTTCTTGGGTAATCATAATCTTGGCCAATTCTTGTTGTGCTTTAAGCTGATATCTATGAACGCATGATGGAGATTTGCAAGAAGAACGGCTTGGACTCAGAATGCCTGGGTGGTGGACGCATTGAACACGACCCAGAAAAGAAGTATATGAAAGTCTATGGATTCTCACAAGTAAGTTCTTACTGTAATTGCTTACTGCTATTGTAAAAACAAATATTTTTGTTTCTCATGGCAGGGCTTTGGCAAGGCAGATCATGTCGAATCAAAAAGAATTTTACAAACAAAATATAAGGACTACGAGATCGAAACAACCGATGAGGGATATTAATTATATTGTAGTTCCTTTTTTTCTGCAAACATGAATTTAAATTATAAATTGAAATTGTATTATTTTTTATCATAAACTAAACTACATTGGAATGTATAAGAATGCATACGGCTTCATTAAGTTTTTTTAAGGAAAAATTTACTGTTTTTTAATATAATAATGATAAAGGTTATATCATATACAAACGGTTATGTCATATATAGCAGATCCGAAAACATTTGCATTTCGTTATATGAAACGAAAGTTAAGATATGTAGACATTTCAAACAAAGTAACATGGGTAAATGTTGACAGCTTGATAATCTTTCAAAACAAAATATCAGTCATACTAAATACTTACGACAATTTGGATGCAGCTTTGAAATTATTAAAAATTATATTGTGAATTATTTGGAAAACCAAGCAAAAAATGAAGTATCCACAGGTTATACTCCCGCTTCGTTATACTCTGAACCGATATTGTTGTAAGTTATATTGTAAATGTATGTATATACATATAGCTCTTTAGAATCATCAACTCAATTCAATGTTTAGTGCGAAATTATGCAACTACTAAGAGGATCACACAGAATCTCATCAGTTGTCCTCAAGTAAGATTGGGAGAGGGGAAACTTCTGTATCTGTTGATCTCCATTTATATGCATGGCGAAACGTTGTTTTCCCGGACGATTGTACGCGGTGGGCGTGCAAAAAAACATCGTAAGTTGATCATTTGAAAATATTTATTTCAAAATTTAATTCCCATACAATGTTTAGTATACCTTTATGACGAGGTCAGAGAAGAACTGGAGGAACTTGGTTTATGCTCTAAAGCCTTAGGTGGTGGTATGATGAACATTAATACCAAATCACGAGAAATGACGATCGACGGAAAATGCAAAGTAAACTGTTGATTATTCTTATATACGTATGTATGTAGATAATTATTATTAATTTTCAGACCTTCGGAAGAGCGGATCATCATTTGACAAAGGAAATATTATTGGGCACTCCTGAATACAAGAATTTTAAAATTACGGTTGGGAAATAGGGTAGCTATAAATTTTTATAATATGAAAGGGGGAAAAAAGGCATAACAGATACACTGTGTGAATAACAAAAAAAAAAAAAAAATTCAATAAAATGTAAAATTAATACAAATGTCCGTTTTTTGCTTTTTTATTCAGTTGCGACAGGATATAAATTTATTTTGACATTTCTGTGGAAACGACCTGAAATTTTCACTTCAGCACATTTATTGAAGCAGTGGAAACGCCACAAAACTCATTTATTTCATCCGTTTCCAACACTACTGAACAGTATTGAACAATAATGTTTTTCGGCAAGCAGAATTTAATGCTTTGATTTGTTATAAAAATATTCTATCTTCAATTAAAAAAATATAGAAAATGAATTGTTGCATTTGCCAGTTTTCTGTGCGCAACCCAAAAAACATATACGAGGAGTCGATTGGAAAGCCGCCCATATTAATCAGCGACTTGGTCGTGCAATGCACGAAGGGCACGAACTATGTGCTTGGCGAGGTGGGCTCAACAATATGCAAGAAATGCTGCGAGAAACTGTCGCGCTATCACAAATCCTTACAAGTCGCACGGAAGCTGCGCCAGGAGATCCTCGAACTGATACGTAGTCCATTTATTATCAAAGACTTCAAATCGGCAATCTCACGAAATGAACACAAAAGCGATGACCCTGACAAATTTGACACCAACATCAGCGTCGAAATGGTCGATACAGTGGATTTGGATGATGATTTGGATGATGGGCCAGAAGCGATACCAGCTGTCAAGCCGACAATCGTGGATCCAACAGCGGTGACAGAAGAAAGGTTGGAGGAAGACGATGTAGATGACAAAAATGAGCACGATTTCATTGTAAAGAATTCCGATTGCGAGGAAGAGGAATTCCAAGCGATCGACCTGGAGTTAGATATCGAGAATGAGATAATTATAAATGAAGAGGTCCCCGAAGCGGATTTGGACGATGATGGGACGAAGCAAACAGCGGATGAAATAGAAATATTTAGAGAGGACAAGGATATGCTAAGTGAGTTCGAGGATCAAATGGATGGCACTATCGAATACCTAATCTCAGACGCTGAGGATCAGGACAGTTCGGGCGACTACACAGTGAACATACAATGCCCCAGCTGTCCCGAACAGTTCAGCAGTCGTCGGGCGTACAATGCACACACGAAACGTGAACACTTCCCTGGCTATGTGTGCGATCAGTGCGGCAAGACGTTGCAATCCTATTCGGGCTTTATTGGCCACCTGCAAAACCATGAACCAGTCAAGCAGTTCGAGTGCCCTCATTGTGGCGAGCGGTTTAGTCGCAAATTCCGACTGAAACATCATATGGCATGGCACACGGGTGAAACGCCGTATCAGTGCGAGGTGTGCTCGAAACGTTTCGTACACAAGGTGGCGCTGTACAAGCACAAAATGATCCACGACAGCGAGTCAAAGCGGCTGGAATGTCAAGTCTGCGGCTTCAAGACGCGCACCAAAGCCCATCTGGAACGGCACACACGCTCCCACACGGGCGCCAAGCCGTTCGCCTGCCCCGTATGCAATAAGCGCTTCTCCCAAATGTACAATATGAAGGCGCATCTGCGAGAGCACGAGAATCCGGGCAGCAATCGACACAGGCGCTTTCACTGCCCCAAGTGCACACACACATTCATCAATGAACAGAACTATTTAACTCATTGCCAGCGGGACGATTGTACGCCAGTCTAGCGTTTCACATGATTTTGTTTACGATTTGTATATACACCTCTATTAACTATATGTTGGGACAGCTAAATAAAAACGAATTCGATTTAAATGTCAATTTCATGTACTTGATTCGTTTGTTGTTTTTTATTAGATCTACATGCAGTTTTTTGCTCACAAATAAAATATGGTTTTTTGTTTACTATTATAAATGTATGCATTAATTTCATATTTCTGCGATATTATGCTCGGTTTCTTAAAAAAATATTTATTGTGTTGTTTATTTTATTATTTTTTGTTTTGTTTTGTTTGATAACTTATACAAGTATAACTAATCAATTAATATTTTAAGCAATTATGCAACTATTGGAGCAATTAGCACTCATCGTTTATCAAAAGAAATTTGTGTCCAATGGTAAATATATATATTTATATATAAATATATAATATAGACGAAAGCACAATATATGCATACAGATATATGCATGTAAGTGTATGTGTGTGTGTTGAGTGTATATATATAAATACATAAATTCAAATTTACATACATTCTAATATGCAGTACAATAGATTATACAAAAATAAAACAGATTATATTTTGATTTTTCGTCAAGTTGAATAGAACTTTGTTAATATCATCATATCATAAAATGCACATTATAAAAATATTAACAAAATTTATTGCAGGCAGTCCATAGTTAGTAAAAAGTAACAAACAAATCCAAATTCAGGAATACCCATCAAATTGTTTTCTTTTCTTAATTTTTCCATCTTTCAATTATTTCATTTTCATTTTGCATTTTTGTGCTGTGCTCAATAATTTCTATGGTTTGTTTGTGTGTATTCGGTACGTGGGATATACAAAGTATTTTGACTTAATTTTCAGGATCTTCGTTGAGTTTATGTGTGTTAACATATACAAAATACAATAAATACATATATACGTAAATGTACGATTCGCGTTGCTCGACTTATAACAAATACATGTACATATACATCAAATTGATTTCGGTGTTAATTCATTATCGTTAATCATACGTTTATTTAGAAAAATACCTCCAGATGTTAAGGACGAAATGATGAAACACATTGCTCCTTCCTACTATCCACTACCCCATTAACCCGCTCCCCCAGTCCCACTCCCAACCCCAATCCCAATCCCAATCCCAAACCCAGTCCCAGTCTCCCTCCCCCACATATCCCCCACGTACA